ATGACAAATGCAGCGAAACAATAATAAAGGAATCTGTCGCTTGTAAACGAATTTAGACGCCATTGTATATTCAGATGCACACACCGCGGTATGTTCGGCGTTTCAAGAGGAAACAAATGCCGTCCTCAATATCATTCCGGGGGGGGGGGGGTTTCAATTTGAAAGTCCTGTTTCTTTTATTGTTAATTAACCCCTATCCTGTGTATTTACAAGCAAGATATTTTAGTTATCAGAATCGGGTCATATCCCCTTTTGAATGGGTTGATATGCCATTACATTTATATACACTAAACTCATTATAATTTGACAAATAATAGCTTTGAAATTATGTTCATTCTCTATGGAATGTCGTCTGCTTGGGTAGTATTGGTCCATATAGTGACGTCATTAAAACATCGTCATTTTTCGGGCGAATCTCTCGTATATCCCAGCTGCTATAGAGGTGGTTGTATTTGTACTTTTATAAAATCACCCGATATGTAGTTGACCTGAAACTTTTACGATGGCCATCTGTTAGCTTACCAGTTTCTAGTGATACATTAGTTGACATATTTGTGATTTTCTTTCAATTTCACCTTTAAAGTCAACAAAGCTTTTACACGTTTACAGTTTTCATAACCTTTCAAGTCATGAAGTGTGATAAATTACACATCTTTGAATGTTCATGAACAAGACCTCAGGATTTCAGACTGGCAATACAATAACTGGAAATCACGTCACGAGAAAGTGTAGTTGATTTCTTAAAGTTTGACGGTATACCTGTCGAAAACTGGTTATAAAATGCCGAACTTCTTAAATATTTAAACTGCATGAGAGGAATATCGGAGGAAGAAGGGGGGAGTTGCCTACGAGACATAGAATATTAGGACAGCCTGTCACCAAAATGTTATCAAGTATTGTGTTCTAATGCTAATTAATCAGGTCGAAATTATCCATGTTATTAGCTTCTTCAGACCAAGCTGGATATTGCGCCCCGTCCATCTCTGAAGCAACCATATTGCCCTCTGTCAGTCGGTGTTGGGTGCCCCCAATCCCTAGACCACACTCAGGGCAACTGCCCGTCTCTGTGGCCCCACCACATTCCCCGATGGCGTAGACATGCCCTCTGGGGCATTTATACCAATGACCTTTGGTCAGACCTATGGCGGCGACTATTTCCTTCCTCTCTTGTTCGCTAATTCCCAACCCACCGGACTTGGAATCAATTTTCTTGAGTAGACTTTTGACCTCATCTGCTCGCTGGGCAGTCATGACCTTCCCGCCAAAGAGTTGAAGCTCGGCGGCCTTCACCTCTTGGCTGGCTTTGTCATGAGCAGCTGGTTTCTCGACCAGGGTCCGGAAGAGATTCAGGGCTAGGTGGAGCCTCTTTGCTTCCCTGTTGGCGTCATCAGTCTGCTGCTGGGACATCCTGTCGATGGGCTCCTGGCACAACCACGTCTGCAGGATAAATATATCATTCTTCATCTGCTTCACGTACTGCTGATTTAGGGATGGAGATCGCAGCGATTGCAATGCTTCAGCCCGGTCTCTTATTTCCTCGAGAAAACGGACTCTATTTTTCAAAGCGGTGATTTGTCCATGGCTCAACGCAGACGTCGAACTGACCATGTCGTAGAAGCGGCGGGCATCCATCGTTTGAAGGAAAAGTTTCTCATCGCTTGCGATGTCGAACATTTCCATGTTCTCAACTTCTTGAAGTTTTTCTTGTAGGTTCCGACGGAGATGGTGGATTGTGTTTTCGTCGCCGAAGATATTTCTTTTAACAGCATTTATATCATCCAGTGCTTGTTTGATGAGGTTTCCGAATCGCAGATTACGTCTGATCGGTGTTGTGCACCATGGACACTCTTTCAGCTGTCAAATGAAAACAAAAAGATTCAGATTTTTGTTAGTATACTAAAGCATTGTCGTTTCAATTCCTCTCAAATGTATCACTTACTTGCGTTTTGAAAAATATGCTGGGATAGAATATGTCATCTTCAAATTACTTGAACCTCTTTCTTTTTCTGTTTTTATTGAAGCAATGAAACCAAGATTATTTAGATCACGTGAAAATATCTTAGGCTAAAGAGGCAAACTCTAATTATTCTAAAATTGTGCCAATCCAAAAATGAAAAGTCGTCAAAAATTTCCTTTAATCAAAATTATTTTCCAGCGCGTTCTCAGTGTAAATGTATACAGATCACATAAGTCTTCGAAGGAGCTGAAGAAATAAATTAAAGACCAAACATTATTCTTGGCTACCTTAATGGAGATCGTTTCTGACGAGTCCTTGCTTCCACTATCCGTCTTCATCCATTGGTCCAGGCCTTTTGCTTCAATCACATGCTTACAGTCCTCTAACTCCACAAACCTGAACAGGAGAGATGATGTGGACGGAAAGCTTATTTCCCTGATTGATCTATTTCAATTCATATGTCACTACTAAAATAATTTGTGTTAAATCATTGACATTTTTAAATTGATGGCACACGTAATTAAAAAGTATAGGTAAGATTTGTATAATATACATGTTTTGTCGTTATTTATCGTTATTCTCTCTTTTTTATCTTTTTTGTTGCTTATCAACACAGCAAGCATTTGCAAGTAAATCTCACCGAGCATTATCGTCGTCTTCATCGCCAAAGAGGATCATAGTAACTTCCTCCTTATCACAGATTCTGCACTTCTTGGGGCATGGTTCGCCACAGAGTCCGATGCAAGGGTGGCCACACTTCAGCAGGAGTGTACAAGGGTCATCACACGCACGTCTGTCGCATGGTTTTCCACATTGTGCCCCACAGCGAAAATGTTGACATCGCCAGATGCACCTCTCTGCACACGGGACACAAGGTTCTCCACAATTTTTCTTGCATTTGCTATGTTGACATCTGTTCTCGCACTTCCTTGAGCACGGTGGACAATCCGCAGCACATGTCGACCGGCATGGGTGACCGCAAACGAGTGTACGACCACAACTTTCTTGGCAGAATACATGAAGACGCCCTTGGTGGCACTTGCCGCATGAGCCCTTGCAGGAATGTTCACAACTCAAAATCTTATTACATGGTTCCGAACAGGACTCAGGACCAGCAGAGCATTTGGCGAGGACATTATGGCCACAAGGAAAGTCAGACCGACGAATTATTTCCTCGCAGAACATTGTACAGATCTTTCCACACGACTCCTTGCATTCATGCCCGCAATCCAGTCTCCTGCGGCATGGAGATTCGCAAATTACTTCTGAGCTGCTGTTGTAGCAAGGCACTTTCTGAAGGTGACCACAAGGCAGTGTCTGATCGGCAGATTTTTTGCACTGCGTGTCACAAGGCTGGTAGCACTGTTTCATGCATCGATGACCTGAGGGGCAAATTGTTCGAGTACACTTTTGACGGCACTTGTGGTTCTCATGTTTCATGTCGGTAGTGTGGCAAGGCATTCGGCAAACATGACCACAGGTAAGACGTGCCTCACATGGTAAGGAACAACCTCCTTCTGGGACTTTTGAGAAATCCGCCTCACTTGATACCTCATTTTGTGTCCCAATGTGATTTCTGCACTGAAGCACAAGGGATTTTCCGATGGTGCCATATGTTTCAGCTTCCTTCACGATTTCCCTCCACAAGTTTGGCCCACTTGGGTTTTGTTGTGCGAGGAGTTTGAAATTTCCGATGCAGTAGAGACCCTTTCTTGCTCTCGAGAGCGCTACGCAGATTCTGTTGTCGATCTTCAAGAAGCCAGCACTTCCCTCCTTGTTGCTGCGAACGAGAGAGAGTAAAATTATGTCGTTTTCTTCTCCCTGGAAGTTGTCAACTGTAGCAACCCGGACACCTTCAAAGTCACTCTTTTTCATCCTACTCTTGAAGGCAAAGAGTTGACCGGAATAAGTAGTCAATATGGTGATCTGCTCTGGAAGGTAGCCCTGCTGCAAGAAGTACCTACAAAGTCCTACCAAGAACTTGGCCTCGTGAATGTTGGAGTGACTCTTCATTTCATCCACAGAATCTTCTTCCATTTCATGATGAATGAAGAAGATGTTCTTCATAACTCCGTGGATATCATCAAACACCCTCACAGAGTCGTCATCTTGGAGATATGGGTACAGTCTTTCCATCCTCATGAGTCGAGAAATTTCAGGCCTCATCCTATGCTGTAGGATCAAGCGCTGGTGAGGAACACCATTGTTTATCATACGTTCAAACAGAGATATGTCCAGGTTATACTGCGTAGCTAATTTGAAGACCGTAGGACTTGGCCGAAGTTGTTGGTGATCTCCAATCAATATGAGATGTTGACATGACTCAGTCAATGCAGTCACAATATGGGCTTCTAGGACCTCTGCAGCTTCCTCGACCACCATAATCCTCGGCTGGATTCTCTGAAGTAGCATATGGAACTTTGCAGCTCCAGTTGTTGTCATTCCAACGACCGAGGCATTTTTGAGGATCTCATAATCTTCTTGACTGCGTGCCTCTCGTAGCTCCTGACAAACATTTGTGAATTGCCGTTGCATCTCCACGAGCTGACGATGAGATTCTTGGCGATGTAAATGAGCCCAATACCGGTATAATCTCCATCGCTTTCCTTCTCCAAGACCCCAGACGTCCCTAACAGTGTTTGCCTCTTGGTCGGACATTCTTTCATTACTCCTGAGCTTTCTCTCCAAGTTGTGCTTCCTATGGCTGAGCTCCCGTTTGTCTTGTTGACACCCTCCCACATCCAAGTTTTCAAGATCGTCAATTCGAAAAGCCAAAGTGCCATCATCAGAGTTAGCATTCGCATCGCCTGTGAATATTCTATCTCGTGTGTAGTCAACGTCCAGGCGTCTCATCTCGTCAAGAACATCCGCCTCCTCTAAGATATTGAGCTCTTCTTCTCCTTCGTTTTTTTCTTCTTCTTCATTTGGTGGTCCGTTATCTTCAGGAACATCAAGCTCCTCAGGTGGAAATGTCATCCGAATATCACCAAGGAGCCAATGGACAAGAAATGATTTGCCACCTTCTTCAAAGATATTTCCTTGGTTAAGGCTGGATTCTTGTGCGTCAGTCATGTGCTTCATAAGTACTCGTTCATGAAGTAGGCCCTTCTTCGTATGGTTAAGCTTGTTCTGAAGGCCTTTGACTTCTCTCCCAAGACTTTCGATTTCTCCATGAACCTCCCCAATTCTACGTCTCACGTGTCGAGGTGTCTCTTCTCGAAGCTTTGAGCTTCTGAGTGAATTGAGGTTGAACCGCTTCAGAGCCTCGCTAGAACTTCGGCCACCAACTCTCACGATACCTTCACTGCTATAAGTTGCAACTCCTTCCAGAAACTGATCTAAAGCATGGTTTGTACAGCAGACGAGTAGGATTGGTTTGTTCGCACGGCCTGTACGTCCGGTCAGTCCTAGAACTTGAGCTTCTTTCCAAATACGCTTGTTTTGGAGAAGAGTGTGAACTATCTTCAACCCGATGTAGGTTTTTCCAGTGCCAGGTGGGCCTTGTATGACCGTCATCTCTTGAGTAAGTGCTGCTTGCACGGCTCGAAGCTGGGACTCGTCAAGACCAGTGTTCCCTAGTCTCGTCCATTCACGATCATCGAGAATTCTCACGGTCTTTATACGCATTGCAGTTTGATTTGCGTTTGGAACATCACCAGAGACGATGGGTGATAGGTCATATTCAATGGAGCGATCGTTCCGGATGTAGGCAGGTGGACGAATATTTGGTGATGCTGAGATGATGTAATCAGTTAAGGGCATTGATTGCTCAGTGACATGTTGTATGCGACTCAGGACATGTCGGTAAGCTTCGAAGTATGCTGAAGACTCTGCCATGATGAATGTCTTTTCAGTGAAGATCTCTGCAATTTCTTCGTCCCTCTCGAGCTTGATTTCAATGAAGCCTTTAGCCAAATCATCAAGCTTTCGGTTTGCAACTGTGCCGAAGACGAGGGTCTTGAAATCATCAGGTGACAAGATGACGAGTGAACCATAGATCAGTCGCTTCGAAGATTGCCAACGAACGCCTTTGAGTTTAGACTCATCGAAGTGAATCCTGAAAGTAACTCCACTCTGTGAGTACAGTGGTTCGTCCAGTGTTACATCATAGTATATACGAATGTCTTCGTAGCGTTTGTCGTGCTTTCCTGGTCGGGCTGTTGATATATATTCACTAATGCCTTTTCTAAGTGGGCGGACAAAGTCTTCTCGAAGAAGACGAAATTGGACGTCAAGATAATGTTCGACATTTTCATACTTTCCCTTTTTAATGTTTGCTCGAAGGTAAGGACGAAAGGAATCTGTCAGTTCATTGGAGGTTGGAAACACACTATGCTTACGGAAATTTGTTGGAGGAGGTGCTATGGGTTCGATGTCCGTACGTGGCTTCTTCAGCATTTCCTGTTGGATTGTCTCATGAAATTTCACAAGTTGGCGTACCTCTTCTTGAATTGTCTCATTGACAAGTATTTTACTTTTCTCTGCGTATCTGACAGCATCTTCAAGGAGTGTCGCAGCAACTTCAACATCTGCCAAGTACCTTGGAAGGCGTTGCTGTAGCTGTGACAGGACATTTGCGATACCCTGAATACATCTAGGCAAAACTCGCAGTTTTGTGTTGCTTCTCTCGGTCCTCATCCCAATGAGATGGAGGGTGAGATGCCTGCTGATGAAGTGGTTCCTTCCGAGCATATCTAACAGCATGTTGATAGTTTCATTGGACGCCTGCGCCTGGCAGACATGGTGAAAAACCTGAAACAATAGCGAGATCAGGTCATAGCGTATATCCGTCAATTCTAGAAGCTTGCCCAAACCTTGCTTGAGAGAACCTAACTCTTGTACTGCGTCGTCGGGGTCTTTCAAAAGGAGCTGTTCCAATGTTTTATAGCCTAGAGGACGAAATACACGAGGGCCCCTTGCTTGGTTGTGGTTAGGTTCGCCCCTTCGATTCCTACATTTTTGAAAATGTAATAAAGAACAAACACAAGTAATCAGCAACGTTTATATTCTACGTATTTAGAAGAATGAAAAGTCATTTGTATATTTCCATACGGGTTGTACCCAAACTAATGCGAAGAGATATTAATTGGTAACATATCAAAATAAGACGACAATCCTCATTGAAATTTCGTAGACTATGATGTAGAAGTGTTTCCTGAACTAGATGTGGATTTCAAAAGGTTTTATGCTACAACTGCACAGTTATGACTGTTTTTGGTACAAGTTAACGTATACATTTCGCTTCTGCATTTCCCAACAAGCATTTAAATCGTTATAAATATAATTTCTTGGTGAAATCACAACTGAACGTGACGATTCCAGATTTAAAATACAGCATTCGTCAATTGTCATAAATATGAGACATAGATTTATTCATAATTCCTGCAAAGTTCTACAGAATTTGATGTTGGCTGCAAAAGAGAAATAGTATCTTTAAGACATGCATTCTCAAGAGATTCATTAACATTGATTAACATGTCTCTCCGCATTATATGTATAGGATTTGATATGACCATTATTTCTCTATATAAAGACAATGAAGACATTATTTTACCGTAATGCTTGCGTAAATTACATTAATCCTAAGACCTTGTAAAATTCACGCAAATATTAGGAGATATTACTACAACATTACCGAAGGATTTTCGCTGAGGACGGATGAGCACTTATTAAAGATGTTACCAATCAAATTCTCGTTACATTTTTAGACACCCCATATGCTAGTCCATGTGCAAAGTTCAGTCAGTGACTTCTTTTCAAAACTTTAAACATGTGAGGTATAATAATTCTTTTACCCAGCACAATTCATTTTAAGTTAGTAAAACTAATAGATATCATGCCGTGTAAGGGTGCAACATTCATCCAATTATCCCTTGTAAGGTCTATATTTTCTATATTAATCATATTAGAAAAAGGAACACCACCAAAAAATAGTCAATAATATGCTTTGGTTGCACAAATCCTCGCAAACTTTGAGTTTAATTCTGCGACGGGGGAATAACAATGTCGTCGATTGTCCCAAAAGTTATTTATGAAATAAACGTCACTTTCATAAAGGTCTGTAGCCATTTTCGGGAAATACATTTGGCGTTTTATGATTCATGTACCTCAGTCAAACTGTCCGCAAACGACATCAACAAATAAATTCTTGACCATTCAGTGTAAAATGCTTTCTATACATGCGTCTACCGTAATTTCTTTGTGTTCTATTGTCCTTCTGAAGTCGGTCTTGTCAGTGTGACTGAGGTATCAGAGGTCGTTTAAAATAGCGGCTCACCCGTTTCCCTGAGCTGCAGCATCGTCATGTTTCTGTTCTTCTCCTCTTGGACGGTTGCCTATTCCTCCTTCTCTTGCTCCCTGTTCTCCTCTTCTCCGATGGTGATCTTTTCCGTCTTCCTCTTTATCCCTTCTCCATCCCCCCGCTCCACGGTCACCTGCTCTGGCATCCCTTCCGTCTCTCCATCTTCCTCTTTCTTCCACTCTCCTATCTCGACGTCCTCCGTCTTCGTCCCTGTCTCTCCTCCATCCTGCCCTATCTTCTCCTCGCCCCCCTCTATCTTTGCCACCTTGGTAGCCGACCCGGTGTCCACCTCTCCCATGTTCTATCCTCCAAGGTGTGTTCTTTACGTTACGTCTTCTAGAGCAGAACATAAACAACATTATGATTTACCGAGAGAACAATTACCACTCGGTATATATGTATGGTTTTATTTCAATAATAGCATTAAATTCATTGCATACCCGTTGTCTTACAGAACATCCTATTTCATCAACAAAGTAAGTCTCGGTTAACACCTAATGTTTACGATTCAATGTTAATGATTCGTAATACTCTATTAGGCCTTCCCAATAAATCCAGAGACGGTGGTAATCATGGAGCTACCAATCAGTCGTTAGGCTCGACCAGCTAAGGTGTTTGGGCTCCATGAAACATGCTTCGGCCCCAAGTGATCCTCGGTCAACTTCTTACAACAACCAAACTCGTAGCTTCCACTATGCCTAACCCGACACCTAACACTTAATATTATCTTGGTTAAAATAAGAATCTGAAGCAAAGGTTGCCGGAGCAATACCGGGATCATCTTTTATCTGGAATTTATAAACTGGAATCATTATTGTCCAAGGAAGCTAGTTTTCTTAGAGACGATGATTTGGGGGAAGTTGTCCGATGTTACTTGTCCAGCTAAAGGCGGCTGATCTCCGATAGTTGTGTGAGGAGGCAGAAGGATGCAATTTTTGCCTCCGGTTTGAATTTCTTATTAATGTTTCATTTGGCGGTTCATTATAATTATACAAAGCATAAAATATACATACTTATCGACATTTTCTCGTTAGTACGCCTATTATTTATTTATTCCGCAGTTTTTCTTTCCCTTTTACAAGGGTAAAAATAAGCCGTTTATTATATATTTAGTAAGTGCACGGCACACAAGAAACCCGCGTTTATTTACCTATGATTGGCATAGACCAGACAAGATTTATTAATTATTGAATATAAATTCGGTATTTGTAAAAAAAAAAAAATATTACTTCCGAACGCTCATATTTTACTATGCATACTGGGATGAAAGTTCTATACTGCATGAAATTGACATCATATAATTATAGAATTTGGCATACGAGGCGAAAGCAGCTGTAGCATACCCCCCCCCCCCCCCCAGTGGCTTTCCATTTCCGCATCATATGTAGATGTAGGGAATGCGAGACAGTTTCATAGGTTTCACGGCAAACCGCTGCACAATACAATTGCATACCGTACAGACGATGGGGTGCGGGCGGGCGCGCGTGCGTGAAGTTAGCGACCGTCACTAACTTCACGCACGCGCGCCCGCACCCTTTTGTCGGTATACGGTATGATTCGTAGGCAATTGTAATTGTGCAGCGGTTTGCCAGGGAGATGTTTTAACTCTCATATCCCCGGGTTTGCCGTGAAACCTGTGAGAAAGTGTATATTATAATGTCTTCGTTTTTAGGGAAAATACTTCATAAAGATAAGAAAAATTGACACGAAAGGGCTAAGAAACATAACGACTTTTAAATCATGACTATTTTTGAACAATTGATGAAGATTTAGTTGATGTTTTAGTATATTTTAGTAAGTATCTCCACGCCGGAGTTACAGGTCAAAAATGGATACGAAAGTCCACTAGCGCCGTCAGTGTATTAGTAGCATGGTTTTGCATTGAAATGGACAGGTTTGTTAAAAATTTGTTGAGGGAATACGGGACGGACACCAGCAATAGACACTGCATCGTCCACGTCAGTGTTAAGTACATGGCACAAGAAAATAACGCTAATATATAGGATATGCCCTCTTTTTTAAACTGACGTAAAGAATGAAATACACTTCGTAATCAAAACGTACTCACTTAAAAGATCCCAGTTAAATAAAATATGCTCTAAACAATATAGTTCTGGACTTTTAAAACCTAAACAAATATAAGAAATTTAAACTAATGATGTCTAATGACGAAACAGACATAAACGCAATAACTATATTTATATTAACGAATAGACCTACTGAAAAAAAAAATCTACATAAACATAACATCCCCTCCCCCCGCAAAAAATAAACGAAGACAGAATTATATATGTTTGTTTGTTTGTTTTTATTTTTGAAATACATATATACATACAAGTTTTAAAAACATACATATAAAACACATTTTAAATGATAAGAAAGTAAGTAAATGTGTTACGTATAGACAAACGGTTGGATAGCCCCTTTCAGGACCATTTTCAAAATGGTCCTGTTCTTCCATGGGGTCCATAGTTTTCTAATCCAATTGGTCGTATGTATGTCAAGCGGAATGTATTTAAAGTTCAAGCCTTGTTTGTTTGACCTCGTATTTTCTTTCCTTTGCTCATTCACATTGTTGTTTATCTTTATACTGTTAATATATTTCGACTTTGCAATATCAACTCTTATATAAAATAGAGGTACCACCATTTAATAAATTAATGGATTATAGTTTTTTTTGGGGGGGGGGATTCTATTCATATGAAATATTAACTATTATTATATTATTAATCTTGCTTGTTGGGAAGGGAGAACAAACAGTGTTTCATGCAGGTTTGTATGCAACAGTGTATTATATTCCTGAAGAGGCCCGTGATCGTACGTATATTTTCTCAGCCATTTCTGTTTAATGTAATTTGGTACTTGTACCATAACATGTTTGTTAACTATATTGATAAACTATACCTTTGCTTGTCATTATCGTTCGTTAAGATCATACCGAGAATGACCCTACACGCTTGGATCTTAAGGAACAAAATGGAATTCGAATTTGAATTTGAACACACACTCACACACGAATATAGAGATATGTGTGCGTGTGTGGGTTGTGTTTGTAATCAAATGTTATTGATTATAATCCAAACGAATTGGATCATCCTCATTTTTTGTTTAATATCAATGGATAACTAAAGTCAAAAGTATAATGTAACAAAGATAATCGGGTGCAAATGTCAAAATTACAATAACAAAGGAATAGCAAAATTAACGTACTTCCACATGTCTCTTTTGGAATAAACAAATCTTTCTTCTTTTTTTTTCATTTCTTTCTATTGTCCTCTCCCCCCCCCCCCCCTCCCCCACCCCTCTTCTTTTTTTTGTAGCGGCATAGACGCCATGTTTTACAGAACTATGCGATTGGTATGGATCATGTTCTTTTTGTTTTCTTTCTTTGAGCGGGAGGTGGGGATCTTCTCACATACATCAGTATGTTACTGCCGTATTCAGCCTCTTTGTATAGTAGTCATACAAAGACTACTATACGAGTGACTTCGCGAGGCATGTGTAATACAACCTCGCAGTGGCGTATCCAGACATTGATAAAAAGATGAAGAAAATTTACGTCAGTTCCCCAAATGTCCATTGTCTGAAGGCAGGTTCCCAGAAGAAAAGTGAAATATATTTATGTGCACTTCTGTCCGTTGTTTTTAGACGTCCACTGACATCAAGATTGGATTGGGTTTTTATAAATGATTTTCTGAGCCTCAAAACGGGGCGGCGTATCGAATCCAACACCCTCGTTTCAATGATTAATCAAATATTTGATTTTGTATTGCTTTACACTTTAAATAATCACAGGATTGTCTGGGGTGCAAGGTCCATCTGCTCCATATATGTTGTATGTGTTATTTTGCGGATAATGTTACTTTCTGCTTTACCATTCATATTCCACAATAGAATGTTTCAGCACCGCGGGTCTTTGGTATTCCAGTTCTCATGCATGTTCAATAAATATTGCGCAATGTCATCATGCAGGTGTGACGTGTCGGGATAGTCTTGCGCAATCCGCTAACATTCTGCCTCATGCAATATGCTGTTAATGTGGGGCACTCATGTTAAAGATAAATGAAACTAGAAGCTTTTTTTAACGTGGCGTTGCTGATCTTAAAAGAAAATTTCCTCAGTGAGTAAGCTTCTCAACTCATATTAGGTCCTATCAATCCAGTAGTCCAAATAGAATAGGTTGAGTTTAGTGGCGTGCTAAAGGTGGAATGGGCGGCTCCAGAAATTTGTAAAAAAGGGGGAGAAGCAATTTATAAAAACACCCACTGGTACTCTTTAGTCAAGCCAAAAAGGGAAGTACAAACGCTTGTGACCCACCCATCACCCCCCCCCCCTTTCCCAGAAAGCGCCCCTGCATGGGTCTAGTAAACAGAAGGCACTGTCATTATGTGGGTCCAGTGAGGTGGAGACGTGTCATATCGCCTTCTTTTCACCAAACACCCGCCCCCTTTCTCTCTCTCTCTCTCTCTCTTTATTTCCTCTACGATTCGACTGAGGACCCCCCCCCCCCCTCCCGTAGACCTCTAAAGACTACGCAAACAAATGAGTCCCCTGTCCATCATCCCGGAACCCCATACAATGATTCTTTGATTCATCATCTCTCAAGTTTTGACTGAAAGTAAACTCAATGCAAATTATATCCACGATGTTTTACAGCAGCATCCTGATCCCACATCCCAAACCGCCAACCTACACATTAACCACGGTATCCCTTTTTTCATTGATTACTAGTTCTTCCATTTTTGTTTTTATCTTTATTGTAATACCTCTGTCATTATTTTCATCATCACGCCTATCACAACTTATTTACCATAAAGATATCAATGATCATGTCAGATCAATAGCACATTGTAGATTTGTCCTGAAAGGTACAATTGGTAATCCGTGATGCAAATGAAAAAAAGACTACCTCACATCGTGAATATGAGGTGATAGTTGACAGAATATTTGGTAGTTGGAATGAGCTGAAGCCTCTAAGACCCCCCCCCCCTCCCGTCCGACACA